GAGGGGACCTTCGAAATGCCTCTAAATATCTGCAGGGTGGGGGTCAGGAGGACCGGGGCCAGACTCTTTCCAGTGGTGCCAGCGACAGGACAAGGGGCAACGGGCACAAACTGAAGCAGAGGAAGCTCCAGCTGAACCCGAGGAAGAACTTCTTCCCTCTGAGGGTGACGGAGCCCTGGCCCAGGCTGCCCAGGGAGGCTGTGGAGTCTCCTTCTCTGGAGATATTCCAGCCCCGCCTGGACGCGGTGCTGTGCAGCTGCTCTGGGTGACCCTGCTTGGGCAGGGGGTTGGGCTGGGTGACCCACAGAGGGCCCTGCCAACCGCGAACATTCTGTGATTCTGTGATACCCCAGCTTCTCCCACCCCTCAGTTGCAGCACCCTCCATCGTCGTGGGAGTTCCCTGTAACGCAGGGAGGGTGTTGGAGGGGCTCTGCGGAGCTGGGGGCAGGGGCACGGAGCACACAACCCCCTCTTGTCCTCTGCCTCCTTGTTTCCTCATGCTAATTTTCTCCCTCTCCTTTCCGCAGCTGGGAGACCGAGGAGCCACGCTGGGAAGACCATCCCCGCAGGATGTTCTCTCCACCAAAGAACTCTATGTAACAGGCGATGATGACAATCCCGGCGGGACCTTGGAAAGCACTAACATTTCAGTAGCCCAGCACCCGTGGGTGGCCGCTTGTCCCTCCTTCTCCACGCCCTGCCCTCCTGTCGCTCACCGTGATGGTGTATTAACCAAGAAGAGCTCTGCTTCTTTTCTCCTCACCCCTCAACTTTCGGCAGCTCTGGGATTTGTATTACAGCAGCGTAACCGTGGAGAGGCCGGGGTATCACAAACTTATGGATTTTGATAAGAGAGGAGGGAAAGGGGAGCTGGAGGAAGGTAAAAGAATGTCCAAGACAGGCGGAGGAAGGAGCAGTCATGGAAGCCGGAGTGCTGGAACCAACTCGGGAGTCTTAATGGTGGGTCCCAACTTCCGGGTCGGCAAGAAGATTGGATGCGGCAATTTCGGGGAGCTCCGTCTAGGTGAGAAGGGTCTTCTTCTGTCCTCGCTGTAACTGCTTGTGCAGGATTGCCCTGGCGTCCACCTCCTGTGGCAGGAGGAGCTGGCACAGGCCTGTCACCATCGGCACCAAGGGTGCTGACCGGCCGTACACCGTTGAAGCATTGCACGTTGCAGGCAGCCCTTGCTTCCTTCACGGGCTTTCCTGTTCCTCAGCCCCTGCACACTGTGCTTGATCTTCCAAAGCCCATCGCAGCCAGCGGGACTGATTGCCGAGGTGTTTCCCACCTCCTCCCCACACCTGTGGCTCTCGAGTTTGTCAGGAATGGCATTATGGTTCTGTCGTGTCTGTTGGAAATGGTGGTGGCCCACGTAGGCCTGGCTGTCCCCTGCCATCCAGGAACACTTAGTGAGCAATATTTCACGAGCTGCTGCTATGTGCTCACCAGATCTCGCCCTGCTCACGCGCAGCGTGCTGCCCTCCCGCTGTGCCATGTGCCTCCGGAGAGCGGGGGCCTGGGGGGTGTTCGCTCTGCTGGGGCGAACGTCTGGGGAAGAGAGTCTGTATTTTATCCTGGGTGAACTCTCTGGCTGTTCAGACTGGTTTTCAGAGACTCTCCTAAAATTTTATGCAGGGGAGAGAGAAAGGGCTGAATAAATCCCAAATGCTTTCCATGATCATTTTCCATTTTGAACCAGATTGATCTGGAAACGGTTCAGGCAAACTCTTGTTTGGGTTGTGGGTAGGTTGCTCCCCTCCCAAAGACTCAGCGTGCCCCAGGTGGCTTTCAGCAAGCTGTTGACCCTTCGGTTGGCATCAGGCGGCTGGGAGAGGCCTGGGGGTGCCAGGCACCGCTGTGCCAGCAGCGCAGCCTGGATGTCTCCAGGAACGCGTGGTGGATGTGTCGATGGAGCCTCTGCCAGGCACAGCCTTGGCCTTGGCTGCGAGGGCTTTGGGACGGGGATTGTGCCCCGGGAAGAGGGAAGAGAGCCGGTCCCGGAGCAGGCTGGGGGCCTGTGACAGCCGTAGGCCTTGTTGCTCTGTGATATTTTAAGCAGCGCCTTTTCGAACGAAGCTCTGAGCTAAACCTGCAGTAAATGTGGTCGTCGCGGCAGGCTGTTTGCGTGCAAAAGGAGCAGGAGGTGGGAGGCTGTCGGGAGGTGCTGCTGGCCCGGCTCCGGCACCCGCGCGGAGGGTGGGGTGAGTTTACCCACCTACCGCCTGTCTGCGGGGAGTTAATGTTAGCTCTTCCCAGCGTGGCAGACTGGCTGGTGCCAGGCTAAACCGTCCTGGTCCTGCGCTCCCGATGGGATCGCCGCTTAATTGCAGAGCTCGGGAAAAACGCTCTGTTTCAAATCCAGCCAACTGGTTCCCGTGCTCAGCAGCGGAGGGTCTGTCCCTCCCGGTGTTGTGAAGAGCTCGGGTCCTGCCTCCAGACCCACGTGTTGTGGAAGGAGAAGTGTTCAGGGATTTTGCCGCACCAGCTGCTCCTTTCACTACCTGGGTGGATCTGGACCCCCTTGGGGATGCTGCATCTCCTGCAGCCGGTGCCTCCCTCCTGGGCTGGCTGGGAGGGGGTGGACGGAGGGCTCTGAGCTCTGCAGGGTCTACCTGTGTCCTTCCACCTACTTTTCTCTGCTTGCCAGTGAACGTCCCATAGTGGGTACGTGTTTCTGGGAACATCCCACAGTGGGTACGTGTTTCTGGGGTGAGCTGGCTTCCAAGATCCTGCTCTAGGCAGAAGGCTGAAACAACTGGGGCCGTGGCTGTCGCTTTGTCTGGTGTGCTCAGCACTGAGGGTTGGCGTGATCCCCTGCCTTGGACTCCCTCTCCCTTTTCGGGGACAGCACAGAGGTGGACACGAGTCTTGCATGGATCTGAGGAGCATCTGTGAAGCTGGCACTCCGGGTTGCTCAGAGCGGAGCCCCTACAGGCGCCTGGGAGCAGTTGGGCTCAGTTTGCTTGGGGCTGAAAGGACAAGCAGTGAGCTCTTGCTCTGGGGCTCTACAGCGGTCGATCCTCACTGCGAGAGTTTGTCCTTGCCACCAGCAAGAGAGGCTTCGGGTCCCTTCACGTGGTTTTCCTGCTCTGTTGCACCCTGTAGCACCCGTCTGCAACCTGGTAAAGGCCTGAGCACAAGATCTCGTCACAGCAGTGGAAGCCACAGCTATGTGGCTTTTCTCCTAACATCGCATCTCTCTTCCTTAGGTGTGCCTCGGAGCTGCGTCAGGGCTCAGGAATGCTTTCAGGACTTCACAGAAAGTAGGGATTCCTCCACCTGCAGATGAATGGCAAGGGACCAGAGGGATCCTGCTGTGAAGTGGTGGCATGAGCAGGGATGCTCCCCAGCGCCTGCTGGACACTCCGTTTTCCCTTGGGAATGGAGTATTCAGTCCTCAAGGCAAGCTGATTGCAGAGGCCAAAGTGTAGCTCAGTGTTTAAAAGCTCCCAAATCTTCTTTGGACTGTTTCCTTTCATAGAAAAAGCCAGGAGATCTTGCAAAAACATGCTGGGAGGTGCCTCCCCCAGCTCCCAGCGGTGGGGGTGGAGGAAGATGAGGTTGTCTTCCTGAAGAAGGTAACAGCTTACGCAGTTTCACCACCGCGCGGAGAGGCAGGTGCTGATGTGTCCGTCTGGGTGCCTCAGCGAGGCAAGCGTCCTCCCCGATACCGAGGTGTCCCAAATCAGAAGTGATTTGTTTAAAAATAAA